AAAATGTCACAAAATTATAAATTATATAGAGCAATTTATATTAGTAAATAAATAAATAAATAAATAACTGAAAGTATTAAATAATTTACAACAACAAATACATTAGGTCAACTAAATTAACTAATAATACTAAAAATTACCCACCTGGTATCTGAAAAACAAATACAAGTCTGGGCTTCTACGCAAACGAATATCTATATTACAAAGTTTAGTTTCCAATGTCAGATAATTCGAATATTTATTTTCATTTTTCTATCCCAAGTCTGGGCTTCTATGCAAACGACAAGACAGTAGACACAAAGCTACTCCTACTGTTTTGCGCAAACGAGCCACTGCACGCGCACGCAGGAACGAACGTACCTGCACTGGACTCGCCGGAAGCTCTCGGTGCACAAGGATGCACCGCCGCCGCCCCCTCGTCCACGGTCCGGCCTCCGATTCCCTTCACCTGCCCACGCAAAAGGTGAAACCCAGGGCCGAGGGCCGAGGGGAAGGGCAGCCGGATGCGCCGTTCCATGACCAATCTTGCGTGTCATCTTCCCTGTCCTTTTGCTTCCCAAAAGTTTCGTCGCCGTCATCGGATACAGATGCAGATAGAGATCCACATCAGATGGGGTCTACACGCACGCATGCATCTTCACGATATCGAAGCCTCGTTCAGTCGTTCTCCGTCGTCCCGGTTTACACATACCGCAGCGCAGAAACAAACAAGCAAAATCCGACGAACCATGGAGACGGATCAAGTCACAGGACCTGCCGAAAACTGAAACGAGGGAAAAGGTCAAAAGAGGCATGTGTACTACAAGAGTACAACAGCATATATAGTGGGAACACATAGGCCATGTGCCTACTCTCTCGTCAATAAGTCCAGTCTCCAGTCCCGGTCTCACTGCACAGAGACGAGACTTGGACGGGATGGACATGGCGCGGTACGAGTCGTGCTACCGGCACTGGATCGCCGGGCAGGAGGCGGGCCTCGCCGAGCTGGAGGCGGCGTCGGCCAATGCCGCCGCGGGCCGGGCGACGGACGCCGAGCTGCGGGCCGTGGTGGAGCGGTGCATGCTCGGGTACCAGGACTACGCCACCCGCAGGCGCGCGCTGTCGCGGGAGGACGGCGCCGCCTTCTTCGCCCCGCCCTGGTGCACCGCCTTCGAGAACTCCGTGCTCTGGCTCGGGGGCTGCCGCCCTTCGCTCATCGTCCGCCTGCTCTACAACCTCTCCGGGGAAGGCCTGGAGGCTCAGGTGGAGGAGCTGCTGGGCGGCCTCCGCCACGGCATCATCCCGACGGGAGCGCTGGGGATCACGTCCGCGCAGCTGCTGCTCATCAACGACCTCCACAGCCGGACGGTGCACCAGGAGAACGCCCTGTCGGATCGCCTCGCCACCCTGCAGGAGGACGTCGCCGACCGCCCGCTCCTGCCCATCGTGAGGCAGCGCGGCGAGCTCGCCGCGGCGGCGGCACGGCAGGGCGCTCGCGCTGCCCGAGGAACCTGCGACGGCGCGGTACGGCGGCTCGGGGCGCCCGGGCCAGGAGGAGGCGCGGACGCCGAGGCGGTGGACGCGGCGCTGGACAGCTACGAGGCCGCGCTGTCGCGGCTGCTGGTGGAGGCCGACGAGCTGAGGATGGCGACGGCGCGGGCGCTGGCGACGGAGATCCTGACGCCGCGGCAAGCGGTGGAGATGCTGGCGGCAGGCAAGCACCTGCACCTCTCCGTCCGCGACTGGACCCGCCGTAGGGAAGGAGCAGCTGGCGCACAGCAACAGCTTAACGGGCCGAGCGCCGGGACGGCCGACAGCACCTCCGCCGCCGTCCGCCGGAACCCATGAAAGGCTTGCCATTCCTCACCCTTTGCCTGCAGCTAGCATCCCGTTCCCGTGTGTAGCGTGGACACCACCTCTCTAGTACCACCTGTATGTCTTTCTATAGACCGATCGATCACCGTAGTGCATTGCATGCCGTCCATTAATATGTACAAAGCTGGTGCATGCTTTTTTTTGTTCTAAGAACCTAAATTAACCGCCGCAACTAAATATCCTATCTGTTATATGTGTGCTAGCATGAGTAGCTGATCTCTCTTCTTCGTTTTGCCATTACCGTTCCTGCGTCTTTCGCGAACCACACACTGTCACACTCTTATATATACACGGCGTGTTTCCTTTCTTCATAGAAGAAGCCGTGGACGTCTCATCTTCTCTGTGTTTTTTTTACTCTTTGTTAATGGCTGCCGCCTGCCTGCCTAGCGAGTGTGCGGCGTTGGCCTTTCAGGCACCGCACCGGCGCTCACCTTTCCCGTCCCTTTTCTGTATCCGGCGTAGCTACAGTGCTGCACGAGGCGGACGGGGCCGGGGATGGGTCCGGGCCGCGGCGGGACGTGAACACCCAGCGGCCAGCGCGCACGATGAGGCCTGGACACGCCGGAGGGGGCTCCGGGTCGTTTCTCGCGTCGCCTTCAGTGCCCCGTCATCACTGCCGAGCCCGGCGAAACGAGGCAGACTGGCGCACAGCCGCACAGGCCAGCATGGTCATGGACCATCGCTCGGCGCTCTGCGTCATGCCGTTTGGCCGTGGACGGCGTGGACGGCCAACGCATGGGCGATAGCCGAGACTACCGGGGCAGCCGCCAGCTTTCTGCAAAGCGCGCTTGCATGCGTGACGCGTGGAGCGTGCATCGTGACTCATGTAACTTTACTTTTGTTTGCGCTCTGGCTAATTTATTGGCCCTCTGTGAGATTGTGACCATCTTGACAGCAGTGAGGCAGAGCAGGCGAGCAAATGATCATCGAGTGGTGTCAATAGGGACGATTGATGAGATGTGCAATGCGTTCGCAAGCATTTCACATTTTCACCGTCCGTAAATAAAGTCAGGCCCACGCAGCCTTGCTTTCTGGAAACAAGATTTTTCTGACGGTGGAATAGTTATTTTAGTGAGTTATTTGGGATTCTACAGGTAGCCCTGATCAGCACACTGATTAGACCAAAACAATCTCGACGCCTTTCATCAACGCCACTGCAAACCCTTACACATCGCACGAGCAATAAAACTCATATAAACTGGAGGATATCATGTACCTACGCCAGTATAAATATGTCCTGTGTGTAACCCATTTGAGATGTCGTTCATGGTTTGTAGTTTACAAGTCGGAGGCAAGAAAACACCGATACCGTCTATTGAGCGGTGCTAGAAAGTGCAACACCTTGTTGACATGCAAGCTTTTCTTCCTAACTCATGCCAAGGATGCTAGTTCAACTATTAGTTTGGTGGGCATAAGGGTTGGGTGCCAAGGTATTGAAAACCAGCCAGATAGGCGGTGCTAAAAAGGGAAACTTCTCATTGATGTCCAAGCTTTCTTCCCAACTCATGCCACAAGAGATTAGTCTAGCCAGTGTGATGTTCGTCACAAGGGTGCAGAGGACCTACTAGATTGGGAAGTGGTAGAAAGTGAAACTCCTAATTGATTTGCAAGAATTTCTTCTCAACTCATATCACATGAAGTGGTCCGACCTGCGTGACGATGGACACGAGGTGTTGGCATCAAGGATCTAAGAACCTGATGGATGGGACAGTGCTACAATGCATAACTCCTGGTTGAACTTATTACAAGCGAGGCTTTGTCTATCCAACGTGATAGTGGGCACGAGGGTTGAGTGACAGTACATCGTGAATATGTCAAATGTGCAATACTAAGTGAATAATTTGGTCTTTATGTGCATGTATTTCTTCCCAACTCATGCCATAAGTCTAGTTTATGTGCGATGCATAAGTCGCAAGTCCGGTGAGTAGGATGATGAGCATGAGGTTTAGGTGTCAATGCGCTAGGAACCATCCAGATTGTCGTTGCTAGAAAGTAAAACTCTTACTTGGCGTTGAAGCATTTATTTGCATCATGTCATTGAAGGATAATCAAGACAATGTGATGGTGGGGACAAGGTTTAGTCATCCATGCGCCAAGAACTTGTCGTATTTAGTCATCCATGCGCCAAGAACTTATCGTATTTAGTCATCCATGTGCCAAGAACTTGTTGTATTTAGTCATGTCATATTTAGTCATCCATACGCCAAGAACTTGTCGTATTTAGTCATCCATGCGCCAAGAACTTGTCGTATTTAGTCATCCACGTGCCAAGAACTTGTCGTATTGACAGTATTGTCATGTGTTGCTAATGTGTCTATCTGGCTGACACACTCCATCCTTGATCCATTCATCATCCATGGTCGCGCTCGCCCACGGCACCCGTGTCGCACTTATTGATTAGACGATCACTATTGTTGCATGTGCTTGAGATCTAGGGGTGAGAGAGGGAGGGGTATGACCAGTGCATGGACTCGAGATCTGCTAGACACTAGCCTCGAGATCTGCTAGACCTGCCTTGTCCGCTTGCGTGGGGGTGGAGGGATGACCATGAGTGGGTGAGAGGATGGTGGCTGGGAGAGGGGGCTTTGGTTGAGAGGGTGTTGAAGTTAGGGTTATCTTTAAAGTGGGCGGGCTAGGCATCATGCCTTTTACACTAGTACAAACATTTTCACCAATGGTCCGTCGAACGAATAGGAATCGTTGGTGAACATGGCCCCTGTTTTTACCGTTGATTGTGTCACAAACCCCCGGTGAAAACCATTTTGTCTACGAGATCTATTATGAATCAGTAATGATATATTATTGTTAATGTCTTGTCACTACTAGAGGGCCATGCTTAATTCCTCCTATGTTGATCCTTCTAACAAAGTGGCAAATCATTTGTCACTCATCCTAAATAGTGGTAATATGTTAAATATTATGTTTTTTTGTAAACCGTTAGAATCGAACCACCAATGATATATTATTACAAATGTTTTGCCACTTCTAGAGGGTCATGCTTAATCCCTCACGCATTGGCCCCTCTCACAAAGTGGCAAATCATTTGCCACTCACCCTCAATAGTGGCAATAGGTTAAATACTTTGTTTTTAGTGAACCTTAGTATCAAAATGTCGCTGCAAAAATCTTTTATGCAGCAGTGGCAAATCAGGAACGTTGATTAGTAGCCTGCCTCGGCGCGAGCACCGGCACAGGAGCCGGAGGCGGCGAATCACCGCCCTGCCACGACCACACGATGTCACCTAACGACGGCTTCAGTTCCTGCTTGTAGAATTCACGGAACTCGAGCGAGTCACCGCCGGTCTTCCTCATCTCCACCACGTGCACCGATGGCGCCACCTCGAAGATCTCTGCCTCGATGGCGAGTGCACCTCTCCGACAGTCTTGGCTGCCCTCCATCTCGACTCTGCCCCCTTTGTTTAGCTTGACGCTGAGCTTCCACGTCTCAGCAATCTCCTCCAGCTTGGACACGATCGCCGCCGTGGTTTCTTTAGAAGAGAACCGTGCCTCCAACCTGTGCTCCTCATCGAACATCTTGGACAGGTCCAACCCGCTCGATCGTGAGATGATGTCAAAGGCGTTCATACTTGAAGGCCTCACGACGACGGTCGGCGAAGACATCGTCACCTTGGACCGCTTCCTCTTCCGGGTGTCCTCATTGTCGTTGTCGCCGTCCTCACGCTGGTGGTGGCACTTGTAGGCTTCCTTGCCTAGCACCTCGGAGGTCTCGCTCAAGACGTTGGACTTGCCGGTGCGAGGGCAGAGTCCTTTCTGGAACCAGGGATTAGCCGTGATCTTGGAGATGGTGATCCTGGTCTTGGGGTTGGGGTCTAGCAGCCTGGCAAGAAGCTTGCGCGCATCGACGGAGAACCACGGCGGGCACTTGTAGTTGCTCTGTGTGATCTTCCGGTACAACAACATCAGGTTGGTGTCATTGAACGGAAGGTAGCCTGCCAGGAGCACAAAAAGGATCACGCCGCATGACCAGATGTCCGCCTTCGCACCGTCGTAGCCACTCTTCAAGAGAACCTGATGATTAATGGTAAACATGAAAACGCGTTGCACTTTTGTCAGCCTGTACCACTTATTGAAGAGAGAGGCATGCTATTAAGCTTCATGCACATGCACGCATGTTGTATCGGGTCCTGATAACCTCGGGGGCGACGTACGCCGGCGTGCCGCACGCTGTGTGCAAGAGGCCGTCACCGCGCAAGCGGGCGCCGCCGTCCTGCAGCGCACTGAGCCCAAAGTCGGAGACCTTGAGGTTGCCACGCACGTCAAGGAGCAGGTTCTCGGGCTTGAGGTCGCGGTGGTAGACACCGCGGCTGTGGCAGAACTCGACGGCCGTGATCAGCTGCTGGAAGTATCGGCGCGCCACCGGCTCTGGAAACCGTGTGCTCTGGGATAGGCGCGCGAAGAGCTCCCCGCCGCTGGCGTACTCCATGACGAAGTAGATCCTGGACCGCGTGGCCATCACCTCGTGGAGGCGGACGACGTTCGGGTGGCGCACGCGACGCATCACGTCCACCTCGGTCTTCACTTTCTCTGCCATTCCGGAGCGGTGCACGGCATCCTTGTCCATCACCTTGACGGCCACGACCTCGCCGGTGGCCACCTTATGGGCCTTGTACACCTTGGCAAAGGTGCCGCAGCCGAGGAGGCGGCCCAGCCTGTACCGGCCCATGATTAACCGGGAGTCTTGGTTCTTCTCCATGGCCATGGGAAGCAAAGGAGGTTCTTGGTGTCAACATGGGTGAAGGTCCGGCCGGGCAAACGGCCGGACCGAGTCTGTATCGTCCCTCTGAGCAGCAGTTGAGATGGTGGACGACCATTGGCAGGAGAGGTTGGGGTCTGATATGTTCGGTGAGATCTGAGGCTAGGAGGTGTTAGGCGATTACTGTCCAGTGGTGTTGGAGGGGAGGAAATGAAGAGTCCCGTTTCACTAATTTTAGAAGAGAGAAACTCTGTCGGAGGCAATGGTTGGGAGGGAAGTTCTTAACCTACCAGCCCGTGTTTGACGATTTCTTCTCTTAATGAGAAAGCTTACTAAACCTCATTCACTTTTTTCTTTTCTAATTTTAGAAGGTTGTTGGGGTCTCGGAGACTTAGTGGATTGATCATGGACTAAATTAGGAACTTTAGCTTTAAAGCAGAGAATAACAACAATTTCTAAGAGCATCTTCAAGAGACTTTCCTAATTTATAGGAATGGAGATATTTTGGTGAAAAAATACTCTCCAACAACATCTTCAATTGGATATCTAAATATAAACTTCGTCTACTCCGGATTTCTCGCTAGTTGAAAATGGAGAGTGAGGATGGCTTTCTAGACTAGACTACGAAAAGTTGTTGGAGAGTACAAATATATAGAAAACGACTTTTACTCAAATAAGAGCAGAATTTAGAAAGGCTCTCAGAGATGCTCTAACAAGGATAAAGTTCTGCGAGGAGCTCAAGAGTTAGTCCTTTACATCCTGGAAGTATTAAGAGGACGAGGCCACTTAATCTATATCTAATAATAAAGAGGCAATATTTCTCTTCACTCTTTTTTTTTGTCAGTCCTCCCTAACTAACTCCATGAATGTGGACCTTTGTTAGGCTATGTACAACCTGTATTATATGACATACTGGACACATGTTCTTAAGATAACCTAGATAGTTAGAAATCCTAATTCTAATCTAAATAGATCTCTCAATCCTGAGTACGCTAAATAGAAATCTTAACCGAAAAAGATATGAATAGAAATTAGGCCGATCCCGTGTGCAGCGCCGCCACCGCTCAGATGTAGTACTTTGTCGCCGTCCGTATCGCGTATACCAGTCCGACGCCTAGACAAACAAGGTGCGGCTCCCCTCCGCGACGGCCTGTTAAAGAGTCGGAGACGGAGTCTATGGCGACGAAGAAGCCAAGGACGGACGTTACCGATGATATCAGACCAAATCGAATCAAATTTGCTGTAGTCCGTTGATCTGTTGTTTGATATGTGTATCCGTGTGCAACCGAATCCATGCACCATAAATCCATAAATAGTAATCCCTATCCTCAGACCAAGCAAAGAATATCAACATGCACAACGCAGAAAAAGAGAAGGCAAGGAGAAATCGACTAAAGCTGTGAATCGAATAAAAAATGGTCTAGGATTATTCTGTCTAGTATATAAAATGTGGCTACTGCTTGCAACCCGCGTAAATCACAAAAATTCATAGAGATGGCCGGTCCTTCTCCAAGGAAAACCCCGTGCCGGCCTCACTCTATTCACGAGGAGGAGCAGCATCTGATAAAGCTCTGTCTCCTCTAGCCCGTTTGATCGGTCGTATTTGGCTTATAAGGCATGACTACCATGATTTATCAGTCAACGAATAATATTTTTCTTTTACATCAGATCAGTCAACGGTACTTTCAACCATAACTATAAATGCCAGTGGAGGAACAGATCCCAACTCAGGCCGTCGCTCGCTGCGACAGTGCCCCTCTCCAGCAGCTCTCATCGACGCACGATGAGATCTCCAAGTGAGAGATTCATCAGAGAGAAGAAAGAAGGGAGAGAGAGTTGGAATCAACAGTGAGAGCGGGCTAGCGGCTGAACACGGGAAAGGGGAAGACCGGAAGACCATAAAAATAAATGGAGACAAGTATGAAACAGACGGCTGGGATCACCTGAAATGTGTTTGATTGGTTGTGTGACGATGTGTTGGTATCTGTTCCTCCACTGGCATCTATAGCCGTGACGAGGTGCCATGGGCTCAGGTGTGCGCAGCACATCCGAAGCTGCCCGTGCTGAGCAGTGAGCAGGAGTATACATACTCCTGTAGTACGTTGCTTTTCAAGCGTTCATCCGTGGAAGGATGGTGACTACATTAGCTTCTTGACCATTTAAAACGTTGGTTTTTGTTTTAAACTACTAAAATCCATACACACTGAAAGAATTTAAACAATGCCTAGAGAAAGGGTGAAGAGGCACATCTAAAAATTTCTGCATAATCTCAAAGTCAAATGTCAGTGATAGTCGGAAGTCCCGACAATTTGGGCCAGAACTTCCGGCTCCTGGAAGTTCCGACGCAAACAGCCGGGAGTTCCGGCACCTACGAGAATTACACTACAAGTGCTAAAACGAACTTTAAGTGAAAGATATCTTACAACCCCACTCTCTAGTGGTAAGGTGAAGTGTTGGGGTTGCTTATTTGACGCCGAAAGGCCACCACTTCATAGATCGAGTCCAAACCCTAAGAGGAGAGTTGGGGAGGAAGACAAACCAACTAAAACAAATATGATAGCACAAATCACAACAACAACAAACATGCGGAACACAAGAATTTATCCCGAGGTTCGACAACCCCACAAAGGAGCTCCTGCGTCCTCGTTGTTGAGGTGACCACAAAGATCGAAGTCTCTTCCACCTCCTTGCCTTTCTTAAAGTAACCACAAAGGTCACTCGAGCTTTCCACTAAGAAATCAAGGGTAATACAAACTTCCCAAGGCTCTTCCACAAGATGGAAGTTATTGGGCGATGCCTAGCCGGCTAGGGTTCCAAGGACCCAAGAGTAATAGATGCAAATCCAACCGGCTTGACAAAGAAATCAAGTGCTCAAGCTTGCCAAAATGATTCTCTTACTCAATTCACTCTCCTTTCACTCAAAACACTAGGGGAATCGAAGATTGGACCAAAGAGAAGTGGAGAGGGGTGCCTTGAATGCTTGGGAGCTATTTTGGACGAAGGTTGGTGAGCAATGAATGAGAGGTTCTCAGTTAGAAGAGAGGAGAGAGCTATTTATACTCAAAGACAAATCCAACCGTTCAGATCTGAAAGTGCATTTGCCCTCTATGTGGGTTTTGGTGTATTGATGACATCCAAATTGAGACTAATGAGATCTTAATGAGATATATTGCAGCTTTAGTCTCTTGAAAGCTTTAAAAGAGTTGATCTAAGATGAAATGGTATCCCTCAATTCTTTAAGTGCAAAAAGCGGACGAACCTAAAGCGCTCTACAAAGCCTTTTTATTTTGTTTTGGGTTTAGATATGTCGTACTATAAAGAGGGATGCAAATTTAGGTGGTCTGAGGAAGATAGAGTGCTTAATCATAAAAATAAAATCAAAAGAGAGACATAAAACCACCTCACGAACATTTGGACATAGTTTGTGGACTTTTGGTAGTTGGAAGTTCCGGCGTGAGGCGGAAGTTCTGGCTGTCGGAAGTTCCAACGTTTGGTGCCGGAAGTCTCGGTGCTTGCTGACTTAGCCGCAGCCTGCCTACGCATCGTTGCCCGTCAGAAGTCCCGACGAGAGTCGGGAGTTCCGGGTGCCGAAAGTTCTGGCTCCCTCCGGAAGTCCCGACACTTCATGACTTAGCCGCCTACGCAGCTTCGCCCGTCAGAAGTCCCGACAGGAGTCGGGAGTTCCGGGTGCCGGAAGTCCCGACTCTAGCCAGAAGTCCTGACGCCTTGGGACTTTGTCGCTTGGCTCGTTATGTCTGTCGAGAGTCCTGACGGAAATCGAATGTCCCGGCTGCCGAAAGTTCCGGCGACCGTCGGGAGTTTCGACGACATGCGAGCAAGCCTAGTGGACTGTGTGTGAATAGTGTTTTTGCGTTGGGCTGGAAGTTCCGACGATCTGTGTCAGAACTTCTGACTTGGATCTGAACGGTTGGATTTGCCCTTGAGTATAAATAGCTCTCTCCTCTCCTCTAACAAAGGACCACTCATTCCGTCAATATAACTTATTTTTCAAAAATACTATCATTGATTTTCCTGCTAGGGAAGTCGATGAGAGGATTTTCAAAGTCTAGTCTAGGTATAACACTATAGGGGAGATATACTTTCCTCTCAGAGACGGAAGTATATCGATATTGAAAGAGAGATAGCCTTTCCTCTCGGGGAGGGAAGGGTATCGGAGTATTCCCCCCTCGCGAGGGCAGTTGGGGGGTGAGTAGGCCAAGGGGAAGTACGTTTAATATCTTCTCTTTTCTTACTAGTGACATATCTCAACGGCAATGATAATTGAAATCACAATAATGTCCCGAAATAAACATATCATGATCATTGGACGGGCTATGATTGCTTATTTGAATACATCTTGGGTAAGTGTCGAAAGACTGGCATACACATACCTATACGTCAGTAGCTAGGGAAGATGGAACCAGACTAATGTCATTTGATATGACCTTTCGGTATAAATCAAATTGGTCAGTCACATTCCATCAACCTCAAACTTTACTTTGAAAATCCTCTCATCGACTTCCCTGGCAGGAAAATCGATGATAGTATTTTTGAAAAATAAGCTATATTGACAAAAGGGAGCGGCGCCCCACACTCTCTTCCTAAGCATAGCGTAGTGATAGATGTTCTTTCCGATAGAAAGGTTATCTAGCACGAAGCGTAGCATTATAGGTGTTCAAGCGAAACGAGGTAGTAACAACTCTTTCCTGGGAGGGAAGAGGAGTGTATACCGAAGCGTAGCGAGTTAGATGAACGGAGTGAGCTATAATTGACCATAGGGAGATTATAGCGAACGGAGTGAGTCTATGCGCGTGCACGCGCATACACACATATGTGTACACGCAGGCATTTCTTCGAAGAAGAAATCAGGCCAATAAAGTCCTATATAAACATGTGCTATATCGCATGTTTATATTGCCCCTAATGGTATGACACCAGGAGGCCCGAAAACCCCGATTTCAGACCGATAGGACACATCTGAGATAGTTTTAGTGTCATACCATATG